GGAATCACAGAAACCAAGTTTAATTAATAAATTAAACAAGCTGAAGTCAAAGTCAAAAATGTTTTGTAATCAGTCAAATTGGAATAATGCATTAAGAGATCATGCAGATTTCTATGAAGAGGAATTTGAAGTTGACTCACGATACTTCAGCGAATCTAGTGGAGGGATTCTTTTTGAGGAAGAATCTATATATGAAGCAGAAAATGTTACTGACACAGATGAAGATAAGCATCGACGTAGAAGAGTGGACGAATTAGATATCAGTTTAAAAGAAGCAAAAGGATCATTGTTATCAGTTCTTCACTTGGCACTTCGCCTTTCTAAAGAAGAAGGAAAAGTAGAAGGAGCTAAAATGTTAAAAGAATTTATTAAGGCGTGCCAAAAAGGAGAGGATCTTCCAGAAAAAACTATTTTTGAAAGTGACTTGTTCAATGAAGTTCAAAACTGATATGATGTGTAGAGAGAATTTCACGAGTATATATATAAAATAGTTTCAAAACTGAGATTTTCACACCTGATAGTGACTACCAAGGGTACTTTACAAAGTTGTTAACTAGGGAAGTAAAAAGTTTCTAAATTTAATTTTTTGGCTTTATAATCTCATAAATGTCATAAATAAACATAAAAAAGTTCTAAAAAATACTCGAGATTGCTTAAAAGTGGTATTTTTGAAAATGCAATTTTTGGGAATATTTCAAAAACTGCGTATGTCACAATCAACAGCCCTATAAATAACCAGGACTAAGTTAACTAGCAAGTATTATATATCGTTGGATAGGTATTACATTAGGCTACAATAATCCGAAAACAGAATTAAAAAATATTTTTTCAAAAAAAAGTTATAGTGGTTTAAGTAGGGTGACAAATGGCCAAATCGATGGAGAGCACATACCCCCTATATCTCGAAAGATTTTGAAGTTTTTGAAAAATTTTCTTCACAAAATCATTTAAATTGTTATTTTTCATAAGAAAACACCAAAAAACTATTTTTAAAACTATGTTTTCGTATTTTTAAAAGAATTATTAGTTTTTGGCCAAATACTCAACGACCTACTAAAATCAACATAACTCAATTACGTTAGCTTACTTTTTCAAAGTTTATACAGTTTTGAAAACTAGATATATGGGGCTACAAAACTGCGTTTTTACTTGCCTGGAAACTCTTCATTTATGATAGTTGCGGCTTGTTTGAAGATAATTTTCCTGAAATTTTCACATATGTTCTACCATAATGGCACGAAAACATTCAGAACCTAAACTTTGTTATATGTCAAAATAAAGCTCTTATATACTACTAATAGGAACTGAAAACCGTTTTGCAATATCTTAAACCAGTTAAGATATTTCCCGGTTCAAACATGGTATGAAAAAACCAGAATTTTCACTAGTTTTCAACTTCAAACAGCTCTAGAATCGCGAAATCAGCACCAAATGACCTGAAATTTGGCATTTCTATCTACTTTTATGTCCTCTACAAGAAAAAATCACCCAAAAAGTGTAAATCGGAAAAGTCCATTTTTCAAAGTGAAAGTCCCTTTTTTTTTCATTTTGCCCCATAGTGTCTAGTGAAGTATAAAGATTTCATACAAAATTCATCAATTTTTTTGCTTCCTCAAGTCACGAGTTCAAATCTCACCGCAAGCAACTTTCTTTTTTTGCATTTTTATGATTTGTTTTTAAATTTTTTTGATAAAATATAAAGTTTTATGACAAAGTTTTCCATTTTCATATTTTATTTCTTCACTTTCTATATTTCAACATGTATTTTAAATTTTTTCCATATATTTTCATACAAATTCAACTTTTTTTGTCATATTTTAGTTTACCAAGCTGAAATCTGACACAAAGGCACTTTTCCTAGATCTGGATGTTCTTAAATCGTAATCTTGGATAATAAAATGGCATAAAATATTAAAACTAGTATAGACTTTGTCATTCGAGACCGCAAAAAGTCGAAATATATAATAAATTATAATCCAAGATTACGATTTAAGAACATCCAGATCTAGGAAAAGTGCCTTTGTGTCAGATTTCAGCTTGGTAAACTAAAATATGACAAAAAAAGTTGAATTTGTATGAAAATATATGGAAAAAATTTAAAATACATGTTGAAATATAGAAAGTGAAGAAATAAAATATGAAAATGGAAAACTTTGTCATAAAACTTTATATTTTATCAAAAAAATTTAAAAACAAATCATAAAAATGCAAAAAAAGAAAGTTGCTTGCGGTGAGATTTGAACTCGTGACTTGAGGAAGCAAAAAAATTGATGAATTTTGTATGAAATCTTTATACTTCACTAGAAGAAAAAAATTTCGATAGTCAAAGGTGACAGGTGACAGGTGACAGGTCAGACCTGTGACAGGTAGATTTTTTCTACCTGTCAACAGGTGACGACCTGTCACAGGTGAGGCCTGCGACAGGTCAGAGCTGTGACAGGTGGAAAAAATTGACCTGTGAACAGGTAACGACCTGTGACAGGTAGAACCTTTGACAGGTCAGACCTGTGACAGGCGAAAAAAATTGACCTGTGAACAGGTAACGACCTGTGACAGGCAGAACCTTTGACAGGTCAGACCTGTGACAGTCAAAAAAAAATTGACCTGTGAACAGGTAACGGCCTGTGACAGGCAGAACCTTTGACAGGTCAGACCTGTGACAGGCGAAAAAAATTGACCTGTGAACAGGTAACGACCTGTGACAGGTAGAACCTTTGACAGGTCAGACCTGTGATAGGCAAAAAAATTTGACCTGTGAACAGGTAACGGCCTGTGACAGGTGATCTTTTGACAGAAACTGTCACCTTTACCTGTGACAGGTACCTGTCGTCGCAACTCTGATTTTTAGAAACTACACACTTATTATTTTATGATAGGAAGTGATACTCCTCAATCTGGCACGTGAGCACACCTCTCAAATCCGCACACTTTTATTTATTTATTTTTTTTTTCGACTCGATATCTGATTTTAGAGATCTTTTTCTTCTAATTTCTTTTTGTTATCTCACATTTGCATCATTTACGATGGGGAGGGAATAGAGCAAATGACTCAGTCACAATGTGCTTTTCGCGTGTGTTCACGACAAGAGAATTTATTCAACTGACTCTCGTTCGTCTTACAGCTTACTCAAATAGTAAATTTTGCAAGTAAGAAGGAATGTGGTTGAAAGGAATTTGAATTTTTTGCGGCTGTTTCGCTTTCTCACCACAATTGGGGTTGCATGATATTCCTGGATGTTGATTGATAAGTTGTTGTTGATATTCCAGTCACTTCCATCAACATCCTTTGATCTGTAGCTTAATATCAACTCCATAATGAGAAAATAATCCAAAAATTCCAAATTAAAAATCTCAGTCGTGTACTAAAAAGTCAATATCCAGCATAAAGTATGACAAACAGATGGAGCCACAATCTCAACACAATGACTAGCTTCTCAGAGACTAAAATATACGCTCTATATAGATATGCAACAGATTAATTATGAAGTATAAAAATACAATGAATCAACAACCTTACTTTCCTATATACAAGCTACAAGCTACTATCATTGTGCACCATCTATTTACAGCATTATATTTTCCAGCTAGAGTGTTAGATGTGAAGTAAGTAAGTGACGTTAAATTAGCGAGTGAAAAGTGATCTCAATGATGCTTTAGATTGCGCATTTTCCTCAGTTCCGGATCGTCTTTATCTTCCCTTTTCTTAATTGGATTGGTTTAATGTAACTTTCACAGTCATGGTCATTTAAACACACTTCTCACGATTATTTTGGTCTTATCTCTTTGGTTACCATATATCTTCATGAGCTACGCAAATATTGTTCTTAGATTCGCGCTGCTATCAAATTCGCTGCAGGTGAGTCGCAGTTTTTCCGGTTCAAGTTTACATGCGTATTATTTTTTGAGGGAGTTTTTCTATGAATTTATGGCTGTTGCTATGATGAAGACTCTTAGTAATTACTAATGACGTTTAGGAACTCTGATAAAAGTATTTATTTTATTGCTATCTATATTCGATAAGTAAATGAACTGGAATCAGATAATTTTTGATATCTAATGATCTCTGATTAAGGATTTGTAAAGCTTTTGATTAATAAGAAGCTATTAAGTATATAAATATGCAGCTGTTCACAATGAGCACATAGATGTGTATTGCTCAAGCGCTCATTACTCCTCCCCCTCACGTTTGTGACGTCATTTAATCAGTTTTTCACCAATTTGGACGACTCTCGTGTATGGTCGATTAAGGAGGCATGTGAGGATGTCTGAAAAGATCAAACATTTAAACGGGGAGTAGTGTGGGGAGGGGGGGGGGGGTGAGGGTTAGCCGAAAAATTTGTAATCCAAATTTTAAAAAAAAAGAAATTCAAATTTTTTGGTGTCTTTGCTTCAACGTCACAAAGAGAGGGGGAGGGGGGGGGGGGGGGGTCGGTGTTTGAATCTGAGAAAACCGTTGAAAAATATTCGAATTCGAAAAAACCGTTAAAACATGTTAAGTTTCCCAACGACAATAAAATGAGCTTTAGCACCCAAAGTGCCTAAAGTTCACAATTTAAGTCTGACAGGACTAATGGAACATTTCTTATGATAAAAAAAATAAATTTTTAGATGATATTTGCAGACAATTCTCATTTCAGCAAGAAACTCACAACCTAGGACATTTTAGTGACAACTTGTATTTAAACTGTCATAATATTCTATCTGTATGTTTATAACTGACTGTTTATATTTTTAATACAAACTATTTAAGTTTAAGTGCAGAGACAGAGAGATTTACTGCACAAGCTACAAGCTGTAAGATTGAGAAAATTGATTTTTTTTTTATTTATTTTAGTAAGTGATGACAAAAAAACATTGCGAAGATTATCTGACACACTCGCTAGTGATAAAGTCAATCAAAAATTACTTTTGAATTAAAACAGTCAACAAAAATTGACACAAAACATGATATCAAAAACTTGTAGTTTTTCAAGTTCCCATGACAAATTAGAGACACGAGTGCGACTTTTTTTTGACACCTCTTTTATTCTCAATTTAGTTCTTTACAAAAAAAAATTTTCTCACTTACTCTTCTTTTTCTTTGATAGCTTTTTGCTTGGTTGGGATTCTTTTGATTTTCTTTTTGTTGCATCCGATGACTGCTCTTGAGGTGCATTGTCAATATCCATTTTATCGCTTAATTGAATGCTAAAACCTTCAATGTATGGTTTCAAAAGTTCAAATGTAAGCTTTTCATGCTGTATGTTTGTGGAATCAAGACTCAAGCGAACAATGACTGGATCAAATGAATGAAATATGACGCTACCACATTGTTGTGATTGATTCTATAGAAATAGAAATAGAGATGGATATTTAAAAATAAAGTGATGTAAGCAAATTGAGAAAGTAAAAAAAACGTAAATTCTAAATTTATCGACTTTATGAAATTCAAATATCCCAGGCACATTTTCATCCGAGACACAATCACCAAAAAATTCAAATCTCAAAAATCCGTTAAATTTCAAAATGTTCAAATAAGTGAAATTTTCTCATTTCATTCACTCAGCACTAAAATGACCATAATCAGCACATTGACACCACAACAAGAAGAAAAGAAAAGATATTGTTTGGGGTATATTTATTAACTTACCTCTTCATTGTATATAAAGTTTACAGCACTATTTGTATGCTTGCCAGTAAGATAAATCGTTCCTTCTAATCCATACTTTGGAATTAAAATTTGCAGAGCATTTTTTCTCACAAATAACACATATCCTTCAACCTCTTCCGTTCGATTTCTAAAGAATAGATGAGTGTTTAGGGCAACAGATGCTCTTCCAGCATATTGAGCCATTCGATTTCGATAATTTAAATTATTGCAGAGCAAAGAGTTCTTTGTCTTATCCAGCAAATCTTGATAATTGGAATCGGCACCAATGCATGACGCAAGCAAACGATGCACAATTATGTCAGCATAACGTCGAATGGGAGATGTAAAGTGAGTATAAATGGGAGCAGCAAGACCATAATGGAAGAATTCTGGGCGGGTCAACGTTCCACTTATAAAATAAACTGCTTGCAACATACATCTTGTGGCTAATATTCTCAGCATCGTATTGAAATATGGATTATCATCTTTTTCGATATTGTCAAGTGATGTTGCAAGTGCCTTGCCCGATGATGTATCGATGTCAAAGCCTTGATGCTGTACTGCTTTAATAAGTGGATCGAAATTTGCTTGGGGTGGCGTGGGATGACGACGAAGCATCGCATATTCAGGAAATTCCTTTTCAATTTTCTCGGCAACCGAAACATTTGCCAGCAACATAAATTCTTCAACCATTGAATTCGTCTCTCTCAATTGCTTCGCTTGAACCTCAATTGGATCATTTGTTTCGCTATCTATGTGGAATCGTATTTCAGGCGATGCCAACACAAGTGCTCTGTATAATACATGACGAAAAGAGTATGATTATAGTACTAAGATATTGACAGCATAGTCCTGATTAAAACGCATTTTTCATGAATTTGAAATTTTTTAAAAAAATAACGGTAGAAACATATTTGAAAGTTAAGTCACCATAAAAAAGTACTTTTCAAATAAGTTGTAACCGTTATTTTTTTAAATATTATGCGACGGTTTTTCATATTCACACAAAATTTTCAATTTTTGTGAATATATTTTAAATAGTTTTGCTATAGTAGTTTTTTACAGTTCAGTAACAGACAGACTGACAAGCAGTAAACATCACCACTTTTAGAAAAATGCGATTTAAATCCGACATTCGAATAATTTCATGTCCATGTCAAATTACCCTTTCTCAATTCTGCGACGCTTCAAAATTTTAGCCAATTGATTCAATTGTCGAAGAGACTTTGCTATGTCATCATTCTTGTTTTTATCATCTATAATGATTTGAGCTTCTTCATATGTCAATGCAGCTTTCGACTCGATGACACTTTTATGGAATTTAGTTTTGACGATATTTGCATCCTTATCCATTTCCCATACACATGAAAATGCAAAACGTTCGACATTTCCACGCAATGAACAAAGGTTTGAGGACAATAATTCGGGTACCATGTCAATACGTTTATCTACTAAATAAACAGTTGTTGCTCGCAATGCTGCTTCTTTATCCATCGCTGTGCCAGGTCTGATAAAATGACTTACATCTGCAATATGAACTCCCACTTCAATATTTCCATTTGGCAGCAAACGACTGTGCAATGCATCATCAATATCTGTACAACCTGGTGGATCTACGCTGCAGATTGTAATGTTTCTCAAATCAACACGCTCTTTGTAATCCTGTTGATGTAAAAAAAATAAAGTTTGTAAAAGAATAACTCAGAGGAAATCCTCAAGGGATGTTGATTTTTATGTGAGAATTCTCTTAGGATAATGAAAAAAAAATTGTAGGAAAGCAGCTAGATTGGAAAGGAAGGAAAAACATTTAATTTGTGTACTTTGATTGATTGCTATTGTTTCCTCTTCGTAAGCTATTTTGTAATTTGATGAATTTATTGATTTAAAAGTTTCAATAAACAATTTGAAAGAAACTAGTTTTGGAATAAGTATTTAACGGATTTCTTGAATTAAAATTGTAACAGATTTTTAAAATTCAAATATCTAATACACACTTTTGCACAATGATTCAGATTTGAAAAAAATGTTCAAATAATCCTTGTGCATAATATTTTTCAGACACATTGAAGTAATGAAATTTTTTATTGATATTCTCTAGTTTAGGACTTTTAATGCCTTTAATCTTACTTGATTATTGATTCCTCAAAATATTAAGTCATGAAATTGAGGATAAATAAGTTTTTTTTTACAAATTTCACAAATGTTTATCAAAAAATTTGGCGCACGATAGTAATTTGTATGAAAAATTAACTAATTTTCAATCGCAAATATCTCGCTTCGGGCATATTTGGGCATGTACACATTAATATGGAAGGTTAATTAGACTTTGTTCTTTATATTTAAATAGGTTTGGTAGAAGCGGAAAGACGCGAATTTAACTTATGAGTGTTTAAAGTCTTGGTAAATTTCAAAAAAATTAATCATGTATATTCGCCCAATTAATAGGTTTTTTTTTGGTTTCTTCACACAAACACAAAGTACTAAGCTTAATTAAGCTGGTTATCAGGATTAAAACAAGAAATTTGAAGTGGAAAGGAGAAAAAATTTAAGAAAAATATTTGTTGTCATTTTGTAAACAAATTTATTGGCATCTTAAAATCGAATTTTTGTGAATTAGACAACAAATTGGAATGTGATATTTTTACAGAACATAAAACACATCATGTTCTTTAATCTGGCATTTAAAACATATAGTTTAATTTACTTGTTATTTTTGAATTTTTGAACATTTTTTTCAAATCTGAATCATTGTGTTTTGATGACACAATTTTTAAAATTCTAATATGGGGCCGTTCACTTATTACGTTCGCATTTTAGGGGGGAGGGGGGTTTGAAAAATTGTAACAAAATGTAACATAGGGGGGGGGGGGTCAAGAAGTATGTAACGTTCTAAATGTCGTCTGTCTTTAAAAAAAAGTTAACAAAAAAAATATACACATATTGTAACAAAGGGGGAGGGGGGGGGGTGTGAAAAAAAGTCGTTTTTTTGCGTAACGTAATAAGTGAACGGCCCCTATCTGGACAATTTAAAGATCTGCTTTAGTAATGACACAATTCTAATTACACAGACACATTCTTAAACTTGATTATCAAAGACACAATTTTAAAAATTAACGAACTTTGATTTTCGCAAAATAGCAGCACTGATTAGAGCCGCAAATTATTAGAACATGCCTTCAGCACCTTTTTGATAAACATAATCTCTACATGAAGATACATTTCTAGGAAATTTACATCAATCAAAAGTATTCATTCCCACACAAAGTTTAAAATTAATGATTTCACTTTTCAGCAGTCAAGCAATCATTTTCTTTGAAAGCTACACAGATTTTTCTGAAGTTTTTCATATTTCTCTCAAAATTTTCGTACATCTCAAAAGTGCAGAATTAAGAAATGTTTGAAAATTTAATCAAAATCATTCGTAGTAAAGGAGATGCTGAGTAATAGCTTGAGAATATGATTTAAAGAAATTCAATCTAAAACTTTGTGTTTACTTCCAGAGAGAATAACAATGAGATTGAATTACCTGCATTTTCGGATAATTTTATAAGCATAAAAGCTGTAACATCGGAAAATTTAAAGGACTTTTTGGATGCTTTAAGCAGCTTTATTGATAGACTCAATGAGCTTGTTGCCGATCTTTATAAGAGTGAGAAAAACATGTGAGTAGAATTTAAAGCATTCCTTATACACATTTAAACGGAAGGAATCTCTTTTGTGTAACAGATATCTATGTAAAGAGTACGAAAAAGCCATATCGGAATTGAGCAGGAAAGAAGCACAGATAAAATATTTGTCAAGTTATTCTGAATCTATGCAATCAAAAATTGAAGCTTTTCAAAAGCAACTCGATGAAAAGGAAGCCACAATAAATAGATTGGAGGATAAAAGTAAATTGTGTAAACAGAACTTTAATTCTAAGCTTCTTTTTGAGACATTTATCTGCTTATAGAATCTGTAGTTTTAAATAAACTAATTAATTTGAAGAAGAACATGCGAAGAAATCAATCGAAACCAATAAGTAGGATACCAATTCCTATGAAAAGTAGATTACAACTTAGAGAACGGCAACAAACTGATAATGTGACATTAAATCTATTGCCAATTGCAAGTGTTTCATCTAATGAAATTGACGACGAGAATGACAATTTTTCTGACTGGATGGAACTTGAATAAATCACTCACCTGTTCAGAAATGATCCATGGAAGAGATGGCAAGCAATTAAGAACCTCTTGTGAAAATTTACTATGTGGAACGTCATGCTCGATAAGTAGAACTTCATTTTCAGTCTCTTTGTCTCCTAATGGACCCAAAATTCTCACGAAATGTCCTTGTGGATATCGAGAATGTCTTGGCCATTGATCAATTGCTACAATTATTCTTTGATTGTACAACTTTTCTGCTTGTCGTGTCTCAATTCGTACTCGAGGAATTTTACGATCCGCTGGTATGAAAATGTGACGTGCTGATCCTTGAACTTCATTCGGCTTTAAAATTCCACAATACTGTCGCCATTTACGCTTAATAATTCCAATAATTCTGCCTGTTGTCTGCTTTTCCTTCTTGTTACTTGCAGATTCTTTCAATATCTTTTCGTCTTCATTTACCTCGACATTTTCATCTACTGGATCTGCCTCATTATCCTCTAAAACGACATCGCTTGGACTTGACCAATCACTTTCAGGCAAAACTTCTACACAAACTGTATCGCCATCAATTGCACGATTCAGTGACTCTCGTCCTTGGATGAGAACCTAATAGATTATTGAAAATGGATAGGTCAATAGCTAATCCAAAAATTCATTCATTTTAAAGCTTTTTTACGTAGCGTAAGCTTTTTGTTACGTAAAAGTTTCGTTAAGTTTTTTTGAAAAATTCATGTCAGTTATTTGCAAATATTTTTCGACCGTTATTTTTGGACATGCACATTTTAAGCTTTTAGTGCTAAACCCGACTATTTCTAATACTTACAAACTTCTCGAAGCATTCGACGTTGACATTTCCTTCCAAAAAGTTTTCCCTTGATGCCATAAATGAACCTTGATAGAATTTGCCACTCTTTATGCCATCGTGCATCTGTACGACTGTTAAATGTGGTGGATAGACAGGAAGTTTACCACTATCATTTGCATATTCTTTTAAACACAATTTATCTTGTAAATGAGGGAATTCAGTAAGGGATTTAACATAATTCTCTACAGTATATGCTTCAATTCCTTCATCGTTTGCCTTTCTACGATTGTCTGCATCGTCAGTCAAGAGAATTACCTTAACTTTTGACTTGTTTGTTTCCTTCAAACTTTTGTTTAAATGATTCTGATACCAAATTGCAGCCTTTCTTATTGCTCGATCATTTCGGTCGTTGGACGACTCTTTTGGCTCACGCTCAATGTACGTATCTCGATGATGCTCATTGACAAATGTATAAAAGCTACGTGCTGGATTCGACAAAATATCTCGAAGTCTCTTATAAACTCCCGTACTTCTATGCTTTACTTCATCTATAACTGTTTGTACGACAATCACATTACTCAGCACATCCTCCTCAAAGATATCTATTTGATCAAGTATGACATTCGTGTCCAAAAGCAAGTAATGCGGTTCCTTAATTAAAGCACTTCTGGATGTTGGATTTTCAGACAATATCAAATCATGTTTTTCGTGTGGACATATCACACAGCATCTACTGCCACACCACAAGTCCGTACGCAAATAATGTTCTCTAATTATCTGAATATTTTGTCAAAAATGTGCTTTAAATTAATTAATCATTTTTAAGCTTAAATACATTGATACATACCTTAAGGACATTTCCTCGCTTGTTCTTCCTCAAGAACACTTTATTAGTCAACATTTTATATTTAATTAAGCCGTATTAACAGCAAAAATCGATAATTAAACTCACTGATATTTTTGTTTATAAAAACAAGTAAGAAAAACACGACTTTGTTGTAATCTGTTGCCTATAGCGCTTTTGTATAAGAATTTTCCTGGCAACTATAAGACTCCAAAAGAGCACAGCAGCATTGCATATATCCAGATATTAGCAGTTATCTTGATTATTAAGCTCTGTTGATTGTAACGACTTTAGAAATTTTAAAAGAAATTCAAATTTATTTTGACAGTTAATTTTATTCAAGTGTAAGTAACAAAAATGCAACAAGTGGATATCAATGAATTATACAGCATAGATCAGTTCAGAAAATTGTTAAAACTTTAAAAATTAGAGTTCTCAATGAGGTTTGCTCTAATTTTATCATACAACAACTTAATAAGCTTAGTCTATACATGTAATCTATTCATTGATGATTTTTTGGAACTGATCCTTCAAGTCCTCTTCGTAGCCTGGAAATTTGAGCTTCCGAGGAGGTCCTTTCGATAATCCTGTCCATATTTGTGACTTCTTTCCATCATCTTTAGTGACAAATATTTCAAAAGATCCTCTTTTTGGCTTCCCGTTTTCATTTAAAATCAGCTGTGAGTCAAATTCTTCTGGAATTGCTTTCTTCAATTCAGAATAGACTTCATTAGCCTTCTTTTTAAATACGGATCAGGAGGTACAGTGTTCTACATAAACCTTAATGACAGATCCAGTAGATGATTTTTTGAGTTTTTTCGAAACTGGCTATTTAAAGAATAAATTCCATAATTAATGGATTATAGCACTAAAGATTAGTAATTTTAAAGACTTACAGCTTGTGCTGGTTCAGCAGATTCTTTTATTTCAGTAGTTTGAGTCTTTTTGCGTTTTGGCGGCATTTTGTTGATGAACAAAGTTACTTTTCATGCATCAACTGAGAAGTTGTTTTCCCCGTTGAAATTTTCAAATCTGAACTCACTCGGACCGCTAAAGATTAATTCACACGCAAAAGAGATAAAATAATTAATTTAACTAGCTTTTAAGGCTTTTTAAGTGAACATAACATAAGTAAACCATTAAAAAGGATAGCCTTTACGCTAATTCGTTGAATAGCATAGAAATAATCGAGTAAAACTTGAGTTTTTTTGAAAAATCATGAATCGTGCTAAGGAAAACATTGAAAATCCAGGATATGTTCGCTCTGAGTAAGTTCCAATGCCTTTATCTACATTAATTTTCTACAATTGTTTGTTAACTACAGTAATAAGGAGAATAAAGATGATGATGCATCGATTGCACTGAAAAGATGTGTAACATCCAGTGATCCTGAAAAGAACATCCTGGTTGACAAGCAATTGACACAAAATGACAAAAATAAGGCTCACAACGATAAAGAATCAGATCAGAAGCAAGCAGAGCTTGACAATCCTGATTCCAAAAATGTTAAGACTGCTAATGAAGTAACAGACAAAAAGAAGCGTAAGAATAAGCAAAAAGCTGCTAAACGTAATGCTCGAAAGAAGAATAAGAAGGCAGCACTAGCTGCAGCCCAAAAGGTTGCTGAAAATAATCCAGAACCTGATCAAACTGCTGGTGTATTTGAGTTTGGCAATGAAGACAATCAAGGAACATCAGGAATGCAGCAACTACCACGTAATTTTGACTGGGATATGCCAACAAACATGAACAACTTGACCGATGTGGAAATTGAACTTGGACTTTTAATTGCTGAATTTCTTGTATTTTTGGAACGATAGGGGAATTCAGATAAAGACACAGATCTATTCCATTTATCTTTTAAAGCATGTGATATTCAGTTCCTTAATTAACACTTTTTTGAATCAGCGTTGAGCTTACTTTAAAGAATAACTTAATTAGTCTATTTATGAAAAATATTTTGTTACATCTATTATACAATCAGTAAGTTTGATATGAATAAAATGCAGAAGAATGCATACTTAAGCTAGCATTATGCTTAAACCAGTTTAATTAAAGGTATTTTAAAGGGTTCCATAAGCCGTTAGAATTTTTACTTGAAATGAGTCAAATTGTTTCAGTTTCTTTCCCCTCAAATTTGAAAATATTTTTAACGGAAATTTCACTTTCATTATATCGACAGATTTTAATTAATTAAGCTACTTAACAACAGTTTAATAACATTATTATGAATTAATATTCTTATACTCAGCATGTTATGTCATATTATTAATTTTATTGCTCAACATATTTATGTAATTACAAGGGGTAAGTAGTCATTCATCAACAGCTGTTTTATAACATGTGTTTCCATTAAATTGCGTAATATAATTAAGTCAACTGATAATTTTATAATAATCGCAAATTCTTCTTATTAAAAAGCCCCATATTTGAAGTTGTGGCACTTCCCCGAAGATTCTAAGGTATACAAGAACTAGTTTAATAAATTCTCGAAAAACTGTTGATAAGACGCATTTAATAAAGTTAAATATAGTTGATTGAACTATAAAAATGTGTAAATTGAATTCCTATGAGCTCACATCTCTAAATCTCCCGTACATTAATGTATTAACTTAAATCGTAGGATTAAAACAAATCGCAGGTTTTAATATATCGGATTTAAACAAATCGCAGTATTTAAAGAGTCAAAAAACAAAAAGTTGATTGCACAAAAACATTAATAATCACTAAATTCCAACATCAAATAATTAAAGGTAAAGTAAGCAGTACAAAGTGAAAGATATAGGCTGCACATTTACGTAGAAACATTGCTAAAAAATCGTGTGTTTATCAAGTTGCCAGCAAATAAATTTTTTCATTTAAAATTCCGTTTTTAAAGTTTACTACTGAGCGAAATCATGGGAAAACCGAAGAAAGGATCAAAGGATGTTGAGATTGAGGAAGCTAGGTATGTGTAAAACTGTGTATTTAACCGAAACTGTCATAATTTTGCAAAATTGTAAATTGTTAAATTTCTTCTTCTTTTTTAACTTTCACATTTTTTAAAATTGAATATTTTAGTGACAATGAAAGCAGACAGCAAAATGTAGCTAATGATTCGGATGAGGAGGATAAAAAGGCGTCTAAAAAAGGTGCTGATAAGTCTAAAAAGTCAAAAAATAAGGCAAAAATTGCCAATTCCGAAAGTGACGAAGAACAAGAAGTAAATAATAAAAAGACATCGAAGAAAAAGTCCAAGAAGAATGCACATGATGATGATGATAATGGAGTTCCATCAACAACTGTATCGGCTTTCAATTTGCTTAAACTCGACGATTCTGACGAAGCTGGAAATTATGAAAAAAGTGACGAGGAATCGAGCACTAAAAAAGGCAAGCAAAACAAAAAGAATAAAAAGGAATCTGCTGTTAATGAGGAACCGGCAACGACTGGTGGCAAAAAAGCTAAAGGTAAAAAGAAGAAGGGCGGTGATGATGAAGATTGGGATGCTATTCTAGCTGAATATCAAGACGATTCAAAGCCAGAACCGCCAAAAATTGAAGAATCTAAGAAAAAGGATAAGAAAAAAGGTCAAGCACCAATTGTAGCTGAACAAACACCTCCACCAGCGCCTATTGAGGAACCAGAGAAACAACCAGCAAAGAAAAAAGGTCAAACTGCAACAGTAACTGAACAATCAACTGAAAAGCCATCGAAAACAGCAGAAAAACCAGCTGAAAATGAACCTACTGGAGCTGCAGCTAAAAAGAAAAAAGGACCTAATAAAGCACTTGTTGCTGCTATGCAGGAAGCCTTAAAAAAGAAGCAGGAAGAAGATGAGCGTTTACAGCGTGAAGAAAATGAGAAAATTAAGGCACTTGAAGAGGCTGATAGACTAAAACAGGAGAAAGAAAAACTTGAACATGAACGTAAAGAACTTAAAAAGCAAAAAGAAAAGGAACGTAAAGAAAGATTAAAGGCTGAAGGCAAATTATTGACTGCTAAGCAAAAAGCTGATCGTGCTCGTGCAGAAGCAATGATTCAAAGTCTAAAAGCTCAAGGTGTTGATGTTCCTGGCGTTGGAGAAAAACGTGAAGCACGTCCATCAGCTCGAATGTTGCGTTCAAAACAAAAGAAAGAAGAAACAGTTCCTCAAACAACTGAGGGATCGAAACAAACTGTAGAAAGTGATGAAAAACCGAATGAACAACAAACTTTAAAAGTTCCAGAACCTCCCAAAGAGGAAATTAAGGATTCATGGGATGTAGAATCTGATAGCGAGGACAAAGAAGCTCAAGAAGCCACTCCAGGTATGTAAAAACTCCCAAAAACCGATGAAAGCTTTAAAAAAAAAACCTTGAAAAAACCGTTAAATTAAATTTCAAATTTTGCTTCGTTAAGTTTTTTCCAGGGTTTTTTTTCAAATATATTTCGACCGTTATTTTTCAAATTTATTTTTACCGCTATAATTTTAGAGCCTGAAAAAAAACAAGGACATAAAGGAAAACCTGAATCGTCTGAGGATGAATCTGATACAGAAACTGAGCTAGAAGACGAGGACGATTCAGATGGAAGCGACGAGGAACCGACAAAAGACGAACATCACGAGAAAGATCCACCAGATGTGAGAATTAGAAAACGTGAAGTAGCAGCTGAGAATAAGAGGACAACAGACTATTTGCGTGCAGCAGTTGTTTGTGTTTTGGGTCATGTCGATACAGGTAAAACAAAGATTCTTGATAAATTGCGACGAACAAATGTACAAGACGGAGAAGCAGGTGGAATTACTCAACAAATTGGAGCTACAAATGTTCCAATTGATGCGCTTAAAGAAAATACAAAGCATGTTAAAGGAGCATCTGAAATGGATTATAGAGTTCCGGGACTTTTAATCATTGACACACCAGGTCACGAAAGTTTCAGTAATTTGAGAAATCGTGGTTCGTCACTTTGTGACATTGCTATTCTTGTAGTTGACATTATGCACGGTTTGGAGCCTCAAACAATTGAATCATTAAACTTGCTAAAATCCCGCAAAACACCGTTTGTAGTTGCTTTAAATAAAATTGATCGATTGTATGATTGGCAAACAATGCAACGAAAGGATGTTCGTGACATAATTAAAGCTCAAAATCAGAATACACAAAATGAATTTGACAAGCGTTTGAAGGAAGTAATTTTACAATTTAATGAACAAGGTTTAAATGCTGCATTATTCTACGAAAATACTGATACTAGAACATTTGTCAGCTTGGTGCCAACTAGTGCAATTACAGGCGAAGGAATGGGAAATTTATTGATGCTTATAGTTCAATTCTCACAGAATCAACTCGCCAAACGTTTAGCATATTCGGAAGCACTTCAAGCGACTGTTTTGGAAGTTAAAGCCATTCAAGGTTTAGGAACAACAATCGATGCAATTTTAGTTAATGGAAAATTAAGAGAAGGAGACACAATGATTATTGCTGGAACTGAAGGTCCGATTGTAACACAAATTCGAGCTCTCTTAATGCCACATCCAATGAAGGAATTGCGTGTTAAGAATAATTACATTGAACAAAAGGAAGTAATTGGTGCACAAGGTGTTAAAATTGCTGCTAAGGAACTCGAAAAAGCTGTCGCTGGAATCAACTTGCAAATTGCTCAGGAACCTGATGAAGTCGATTATTACAAGTAAGTACCACAAAGACAGTGGCTTAAGTGATGTAAAATTTACGGAGAACTTCTTTTTGACCTCTAAGTTTAAATTTGCAACTTATTTTTTCGAAAACTCACTCAAATTTATCTTATATTATTTTATCACAGGAAAATGGTTGCAAAAGACCTTCAATCGGTTCTTCGCAGCATCAAGCTTAGTGATCAAGGTGTGTTTGTCCAAGCATCAACATTAGGATCTTTGGAGGCTTTGTTGGAGTTCTTAAAAACATCCAAAATTCCGGTGAGTCAAAACGTTTATTTAACGATCTCTTTAAATTCAAAAAAAGCTATCATAAAAGCTCAATGTTAAAGAAAAAGCTCGATTATAAAGCTCTAATCAAAATAGTTAAACATTCCATGCTTAATCGATTCAACGAAGATGGAAATTAATTAATTCTCGTTAATTTTCACATCCAGTACACCACTTAACAAGTTAATTTCTTACGAGTGAAAAGCTTTGCGTCCAAAAGAGGTTCATTCATTGATCAAATAGTGGTAAAAATATTTCATGAATGAGTTAATTAAATTAACGCTTTTAGCATGAACGAAAAAAGCAACTCCATTCACAAAAAAAATTTATATATATTTATGAATGACAATCCATTCCATTTATATGCATCAACAATTTTCTAAGTGTTGTATCCACATTTGCATTTCATTTCTTCTTCCAACGACTGGATATTCTGTTCATAGTGGTAATGGTACATCAGAGAAAAAGATATGAATGAAATTCTACAACTGTGATATTCTGAAGGTTATTTTCGTGCTACTCTGCTGATTTTTAACTACTTCTTCTTGATCTTCTCAGCAAATTTTGCTTGTTGTTTATTTGTGAAGCGAGAAAGACTTCTTCTTACTCATTCATTATATAATATTATGTGCAAACTAGAAAAATTTGCTTTACCTTCTCAAATTTGGGGATCGTTCGTAAATTACGTTTCAGGAAGGAATATTAAAAGCTCAGAACAATATTTCTGTTATTCTTGATGAATGATCCCTTTTTTGGCATGATAAATTGGGGAATTCAACACATTCAAATTCCCGGTGATATCAGTAGTTATATGCTAAGGATGCTTACCACGATTGGATTAATAAGAATTGATAAGTGTGGGAAATGTTTGATTGATAAAAATACCAAAAAACTTGATAGAGAAACAAAAATTGGGTCAGGTAACCACAATGATTCAGATTTGGAAAAAATGTTCAAAAATTCCTTGTGCACAATATTTTTCCAACACATTAGAAAATTGAAAGTTTTTGTTAATTTCTCTTGATTTGAATCTTTTAGCATCATCTACATAATGTTTTCGTTCATTGCTCAAAAAATTAGTCCCTAATATAAAGGATAAACATGATTTTTTACCAAAAGTTTGTAAAAGTTTATCAAAAAATATTGTGCATGATCAAATTTTGTATGAAAATTTATGTAAACTTTGATCGCAAATATCTCGAAAACGGCATCAAACGGCATGTCCTCAGTAATATGGGAGATAGATTTTAACTTAATTAATGGATTTATATAGGTTTCAGAGAGGTCTTTGGAAGACTTTTTAACTTATGAATAGTTTAAGTAGTGTAAAAATACTCAGATTTCAATTCCATTTTTAAGGCTTAATACGCAGATTTCTATTGAGTTGGTTGTTTTAGTATGTAAAGCTAAGCTTAAATTAGCTAGTAACTGCTTCCAAGACATCCAAATAACAACTTAAAGTAGAAAAAATCATATTTTTTTTTTCATACACAAATTGTAAACAAATTTTGGGTGAGATTAAATTAATGATTTCTGGAGTTAGACATCAAATTGGGACGAGATATTTTCATAGGATATGCCTCAAGTTAAGATCTTTAATCTGGCATTTAAAGGACATAGTTTAATTAACATGAAATTTTTGAATTTTTGAACATTTTTTTCGATTCTGAATCATTGTGGTAACCAAGAAAATGTGTTAATTTGTGCTTCTTTCAAGAGTTATTTTTGTTTCTGATCTAGATATAGCTAGATTTGAACCAATTTAAACAACAAACCAATTCAGATGCTAATTTTGTGTTTTTACTTTATTCTGAAGAGTATTAAGTTTATTTGAATTCAAAAAACATTTGAGAACTTTTACATCTTGGTCTAGTGTGTGTAAAGCACCAATTTAACTAGTTTTAGTGATAGATTAGCACAGATCAGGGGCGTAGCCAGAAGATTTTTAAGGGGGGGCCCATTTTCGAAAATTAAAAAACCGTTATTTTATATCCTTAAATCTATATTCATTCTTCATAAGTTTAAATATTTAATTCATTATTCATACATTAAATTTAATTTTTCGTGCTGATTTTGATATTTCTTTCATCACTTCCTCTACATTAACTGGTTCTTCTCTATAAATACTTAATAAAATAATTATCAGATTATCGTGAGGGGGGGGGGGCTCGGGCCCCCTATGCCCCCCCCCCCCCTGGCTACGCCCCTGGCACAGATAATCACTGTTGTTGCTGAATTGGTGCAACTGCATGTAAAAAAGATGAATCTTCATTGCGAAACTCAAACATCCATAAACCTTAGTTAATCTGCAAACATATCAGAAAATTCGAGCCACAATCATGTCCTTGGATCCAAAAATATCCCCAAAAGCTAAATGGCTGATCCAATTAGTGAAATAAGTAGCCTGTAATATCAAACATCGTAGATAATTAATAACATTCTATTCGTGGAAAGTGCTCTGGTATTGCTAGAGTAAATATTTTTTAGGCAAAAAGTCTACATTTATCCAATCGAGTGCTCAATAATGTTCGTTATATAACATAAATCAACAATTACGATGCCTCAATGTCTGTATTTTTCCATATTTAGCTATTTTATTTTTCACCATACATCACATGATGTACTGAAGAATTCTTACTACATTAGTCATAAAATTAACATATCTTGTTGCTTTGTCAATATTCCCAATATTATATGATGTATATCCATATATAAACATCGTCTCTAGTTATTTATTTTTTTTCTCATGGAAAATGTATTGCATTTATGGAATTCTGTAAATATTTTCACTTCATAACAATGATGATGATGACGACGATATTCATAAAGCTAGTGTTTCGTGCTAATCAATTTTATGGAAGGCTGTAGGTGTAAAGTTTTTTTCTTCTAGCTGCTCACGTACTTCTGTTCAAATGTTATTAATTGTTCTCGTTTTTCTCTTTTTCTTAATTTTGCATATGGCATTGATTACTTTAATGATTTGGATATGATTTTTCAAAAAGTTCCACTTCATTAGCTATTTATTTATTGAATGAATTTAAAATTCTTTTGCAAGCTTGTACAAATAGTATTTGAAGCCATTTATTTGGGGGGAAAAAGCACTGCTGCATATCCATTTTGGCTGAATAATTTTTTTGAACTGAATAGTTTTTGAGGTTAGGTGATCAAAAACTTTGATTTGAGCTTTATTTTAAGAGGTTTTCAAGTTATTCTAATTTTTTTTAAGACCAAACTATGTTTTTCAATAGAGTAGTGAAGTTATGAGCAGAGGGGATGATTTTTACCATAGTTTTGGCTCTATTCTAGCAAAATTCCGGGCCATATTTAGTAACAAGCTTGTTATTCATTTCAAAGTTCTATCAGCAAAGCTAGGATCGTGTGTTTTAAGTTGTATTCAAATCTTTGGCTAGAAATAAATTGAAAAACTAGGATTCAGATGATTTTATCACTTCTTTTAGACTCAAATTACGACAAGGAACATTCAAAGGCACTTAAGCAGTTAAGTGCCTTGCTGGTCGAATAGGTAAGGCGCTTGGCTCAAATTTGGGATAGTAACTCGAAGGTCGTCGGTTCGAATCAGGCCATTTCCAAATTTGTTCTTTTTCGGAAGTTTAGATACTTCGACTGCTTAATGTAGGCGATCAAGCCATAATTGGGAATTTGGGCAACGTTGGATTAAGGAACGGGTCAGGAACTTGAAGTGTAGCGGGAGAAATAGGAACGAGAGCTATAAGATTACCCACGAATGGAATATTGTTAGAACGAACCTTAAAAAGTATCACGTCACGCCTACAGAAGATCGAAACGAGAGCCTTAGTTTATTTGAAACCTAGATTTGAAGATTAGAAGATTGATCCTACATAATATTAATTCATATGTATACAAATTAGGGTTCGGAAATCTACAGTTATTAACAGTTAGTAACACTTATCTACAGTTATCTACAATTTGTAACTGTAGATAAGTAACTGTAGATAATTTTTTCAAAGTGAAAAAAAACGTTATTAATTTACTGAAAAAAGAGTTGAAATGCTAAAATCAGGACTGCAACAGCATGTAACAGTTCAAATAAAGTGACACTAGGCTTCATTCAGTATTTTAAAAGCGTTTGTGTGGTGATTTAATTGAAAATTAAGAAATTTTCGCAATTTTTTTTTGTTTACAAACATGTGAATAATATTTGAATTTCATATAACCGTTACAAATATTCGATATACAAAAAGTTGATTTCTAACAATTTTTAATAGCTAATGTTGACATTTGAGCTCTCTCAATGTATAATAAGAGTATTCTATATATAAATACATTAAAAAAGTCTCCAAAAATTGTTTGTTTACAAAACTTTGCAAATTATTTTAACGAATTTTCTTCATTCAAAAAATTTATCTACAGTTTACTAACTGTAGATAACTGTAGATTTTATGTAGATAATCTAAAAGTTGATAACTGTAGATAATCAGTTAGTGGTTTTCCGAACCCTAATACAAATACAAAAGTGTAAAATGTGAATTATTACCGGACAGTATGTCGTCAATAAATTCAATAAAGTGCAATTAAAATGAAAAAAAAAAAGGCACATAAGATCTTACAACATTTTTATCACAATACCATCCTCAAATAAATGCGCCTTCAACCTTCACAAATAACAATTTCTATGCTAGATTATTTTATAAAAACAGTTGGATACTTGTGAATGAACGAATGTGGGTATGTAGGTATCGTACGTAGGAGAGGAGAAATAAAAAAACACACAGTGGATGTATGAAAGGCACACATGGAAACACTTGTCAGTCAACGCAACGTGGATTAATTTGAATGAAATTCCATTTTGATTGACGGGAAGCAGAGTCGTTTAATGTAATTGTCACGTATCAGCATAATGAGTAACATCAAATTGAGTTTCAATCTGTCGTGTCGCTATCGTCGCTCCTCAAAAAAAAATTATATATTTGGCCTGGCAATAATATCGTTGAGACAACAACATTTTAGTC